TCCGACTTGTAGCCCTTTGGGTGGGGGGGTCTGGCCAGACCTGGCAGCACGGCACAGGCCCACCCCGGGGGGTGGGAAGGACCGTGGCTCCCTCTGACTGACCCCACTAACTCTCTGGGCTTTACTCACCCTCACTATCCCTGCTGAGATCCCCTCCCGCCAGCACCTGGGCCTGGCCCCTGCTCCAGCCTCACCCCCGCCCTCCTCCAGCCACTCCAGTGTCCCTGCCCAGACCTCAAGCCCCTGGTCCGCTCAGGCTCCGCGGCCCCAACACCCCTCCAGTCCTGCAGCCCTTTCCCCAGCCTTTTGCCGGTCGGGGCCCTTGGAGCTCACCCCATCCCAGGGAGGTTAGACCCTGAGGCCCTGCCCAATGCCACAGCCCAGGGGGTGCAGGATCTGCCATGAATGTGAACGCAGGGCTAGGAGGCGAAGGGGAACCGCCGGGGCGGCTCCGGCCTCTCTCACCGATTAGCCGAGCGATGCGGCGGAGGCTCATGGTGCTTTGCTGTAATTCTTCCACCCCGCACTGAATACACGCCTGACGGCAGCCCGGCCTGGGTGTTGCGTGCTTTGTTCCGCCTGCTGGCCAGCCGGTCACAGGGGGCTGGTCAGGGAGCCGGGGGTGGGACCCGGTGGGTCTGCTTCTGCTCTCGCTGACCCTGGCCCAAGCGGCGTCCCCTGCCCTGGGCCAAGGCTGGGGACTCAGAAGGTCCTGGCAGGCCTCTGTGCAGCGGGGGGGCTGGGCGCTGGGGGGGTGACGTTAGCTAGGGGGCTGGGTTCCCAAAGGGGCTTTTGCCCCAGAGTTCGGAAGAGGACAGGAGAATTGGGGGAGGGGGCAGGGGACACACGTTCCCCTGTGCCTCGTCTCTTCCGCCACCCCCAACCTGCCCTGTCCACCAAGGCCATCAGCTGCTGTCCTGAGTCAACTCCCCCTGCCTTGGGCCCAGCCCCCGCCCGCGTCCCCGAAGCCCCCGGGCAAGTGGTGCCGAGGAGTCTGGGTGGCTGCGAGCGGGGCCCAGATCTCCAGCCGACGGGGAATGTCCCGTTCTGGCCGCCCCGGAGGAAGGGACTGACAGGTGCCGCAGGCAGAGCCAGGCCATGCTAGGACCCAAACAAAGAAACCTTGAAGCACGTTCCCAGAACTGCAGGGGGCAGGATCGAAGCCCGGCCCCGTGGCCTCCGGCCAGGAATTCTGCACACGTGGCCTCATTCCCGCTCATGGCTCGCTCCAACCTCGGCCCGGCTACCAGCTCCAGCCCCGCCAAAGAGGGACTAGTGCCAGAGCCTGCTCTCAGCCCCAGAGGAGCAGGCTGCGGGGGAGAGGGGCGCACACGAGAACAAGCCCCCGGCAGGCAGGCAGCAGCACACCTGTGCCACCCGCGCCCGCCGTTCCAGCTGCAGGGTGGCAGGAGTGGCAAACAGACGATGCTGGGGCCTGGGATCATGGTTGGGGGAGTCAAACTATCCGCTTCCAGGCTGCCCCCACCCTCCAAGGAAAGGGAATTCCCCTCTCCTGCTCCCCGGAGCAAGCGCTGGTGGCCCCGGAGAGCGAGAAGCATCCGGTGACGGGTGGATAATCCATGGGAGTTTTGCTGGGTAAACCAAGGGCATCTGGCCCCACTTAGGTCAGCCGCTCACTTACAGCGGGCTGCACCCGCCTGGGGTCCCTGCTCTCAGTCCCACCTCTGCCTCCCCCTTGGGGATGTTCCCCTTTCAGTCCCCCGGCAGAGGGGTAGCTCCCCCAGACGCTGACACAAGAGCATCCTCTCCAGGCTGGAAATGTAGCCCCAAAGCCTTGGTTTGTTGGACAAGGAAAGCAGCCTGATTAAATGGCCTCCCAGGACTTTCCCTGCAGGCCCCATTGGGTCCGGCGCCGCCAGAGGGGACATGTACTGTGGCCAGTGAGTCTGGGCACTAGAGGCCCTGGCCCTCAACTCAAAGCCACTTCCCCTCTAGACCTGAGCTGGGTTTCAGCAGCCCTCAGTGCACGACATGGAAGTTAGTTAAGTCTCAGAGCCGCCAGACAAGGGAGTTATCAGGCCCTCTTACAGAGGGGTAAACTGAGGCACAGAGCAGTGACGTGACAGTAAGCGAGTGGCAGAGTTGGAAGTAGAACCCAGGAGTCCTGACTCGTGTGTCTCTAACTGCTAGGCTACACTGCCCCTCCCAGAGCCAGGAACAGAACCCCGGAGTCCTGGCTCCCAGACACCCCCCAGGAGTCACTAGATACAAACGGTGCCACAGACGTAGGAAACCGAGTGACAGACAAAGCGATTTGTGTTAAATACATTAATCGTGCCGTGCGGCTCAGTTCTGGGCCAGGCTGCGTTTCCTACGGATGGCCCTGAGCCTTGGCAGGATGAGAGGGTTAGTTCAGAAACCTGCAGGACACGCTAGAGCTGGGGAGCTCTAGCCATGTTGTTGCCATGGTCTGATTTATGGCTGGGCCTTATCTCCCCTAACGCGCGTATAATCAGTCTTTCCTAACACTCTGTGCTAGATTGTGAACTCCTTTGGGAAGTCCCTGCATCCTCCTGGCTCTCTGCACGGTGCTGAGTGCAAGGTCAGGGTTTTAGATCACCTCCTAAAGCCAGTCACAAGCCCTGCTCACAGGAATCACGGACTTTCCCCTGCCACCGAAATGCAGCCACCTCTGGGGGAGAAGGCAGCAGCTTAACAGCGCACAGCAATGCTGTGGGAGGACTAAAGGATAATTATGTATCCAGTTGACATTTAGAATCGAGGGGGAGCAGGATTTAGGATGGTCAAAGGAACCCCCAGAGCTGGCGGTGGGTCAGGACAAGGGGGTTAATGAACAAACGGTTTCATGAGATCTTTCAGGACCTGTCTCACACAGCACCCCCTACCTGCAGGGCAGCGCTGAGGGGCGAGCCCCCCTTCTGAGCCCTCAGCACTGTGCAGGGACAGTGGGGCCAGCACTGGCTGTGAGGGGAGAGCCCCCCCCCACAAGTGCGAATCAGACTGAACCCCAATTAGCAGATAAAGTCGCAGCTCAGGGGGAGCAGTGACAGGGAACAGAACAGCCCCCAGCCCCACCCCAGGAAGGGGCCATCCAAGCATGGATTGCTCTTTGATTACACAAGGCCACAGGGTAGGCGCTTGCCAGAGCTGTGGACTTGTGCCACGCCATTGGGACTGAAACCGCTT